TTTAACTGAGCAGCTAATTTTGGAAATACATTTTATGTCACTAGCCTCTCTTCAGTATAAATATAGTTGAGTTGTTGGGTGGGGAATCTTGCATTTTTTCCCACTTCAACGCTTAGTGTCATGTGAAGCCTGTGCTTTGGACTGACTTCATTTTTTTAAACAACACTGCCTCCTAGTGGTCATAATCTGTATTGCAGAGTCTAATGAGAACAACAAACAACTGTTTGTTTGTTTTTTTGTTTTGTTTTTTTTTTCCATCAAGGTTCACGTACAAATGTGAGTCTAAGTGAGGAGACATGAGCGTGAATATGTCACGGTTTGCCAGGGCAAGCCGTGGGGATGTGGGGGGAAATAAAACGCACTGCAAACGGTGCGTTTATTTACAGTGCGATAAATGATAATAAATCTCCGTGCTTTCCCTTTACTTCCGTGTCGTGTCTTCCCCGAAAAATCTTTGTCTTTGTGCTCTCCGCTCCGGTGTCTCAGCACTCCCCGTCCTGGCTGCTGTCTGGTGTTCCACACGTCTCCTGGGGAAACAGAAGCAGCCGTTAAGACACAATACAGCTGCATGCATACACATACTAACTTTACTGAGCTTTAAGACTAACGTAGCATCTCACACAATTATCCCGCGCTGAGGAGCGCTCAGCCACACTCTCAAGTAGCTCCCCTGACAAGGCTTCATTAGCTGCAGGTGTGTGTACTCGTCCGCTTCAGGTGTGGCCAGCTTCCAGACGGGACACACCTACCAGGCCTGCCTGATCCCCAGTGCTCATCCACACCCATACACACACCCACTTGCCTATATATACACAAGCATGGAGAAGACAAAAACAGCAGCAGAGTGCAGCAAACATGCATAATATAAAACGAGTCCACAACCGCTCATGGACACTGACAGAATAGGACTCGTGAAATTTTAAACAGAAACAAAATTCCATGTAAATAATACTGCTTTGTGCTGATTGTGTTACATATGATTGTGATTACGTATATTGTGAAAAATAAATATAAATCCTTCAGATTTGTGTATCCGATCTGTATTTATTTCTAACAATTGTTCTAATCGTATAAGTAAACTTTAACTTACAGACCAGAGTCACAGATACATTTATGATATTAACTCTATAAAGGTTTTTGTATCTTACGTTGGTTAGATAGATGACACCCAGTATGGGTTTTTCCATTATGGTCAGATCAATACAGTCTCTCTATATGGTTTTAGTGTTTTAATAACCAAATCAGATACTTTTATCACTCTATTATTTGAGAATAAAATGACAAATAGAATTTCAGTCTGTTATTTATTTTAAATGTTGGTTAAAGCTTGGTACCTTATAGAGTAAATAATGAATCATTCATAAGTTTGTATAACTGGAGCTTGTGTCTCATCAGTAATGCTGATGATGTAGAAATATGAGAGACACTGTAATATTTCCCATCTGAAAGACATTACAGGCCACCAGCTGGACCCTCTGCAGTTTGCTTACCGGGCAAACAGGTCGGTGGATGATGCAGTGAACATGGGGCTGCATTACATCCTGCAACACCTTGACCGCCCGGGAACTTATGCCAGGGTCCTGTTTGTGGACTTTAGTTCGGCTTTTAACACCATTGTGCCTGAACTTCTTTCCTCCAAACTCTCCTTGCTCAGCGTGTCACCAGCTACCTGTCAGTGGATCACCAGCTTCCTGACAGACAGAAAGCAACAAGTGAGGCTGGGGGAGATCACCTCTGAAACCCGGTCCCTCAGTATTGGTGCCCCCCAAGGATGTGTCCTCTCACCACTACTGTTCTCCCTCTACACTAACGACTGCACCTCCAAGCACTCGGCTGTCAAACTCCTAAAGTTTGCAGATGACACCACCGTCATTGGCCTCATTCAAGATGGTGATGAGTCTGCATACCGGCAGGAAGTTGAGCGGCTGGTACTCTGGTGCAGTCAGCACGATCTGGAGCTGAACACTCTTAAGACTGTAGAGATGACAGTGGACTTCAGGAGACATCCCTCAACTCTGCTCCCCCTCACCATATCAGACAGCCCTGTGTCAACTGTGAAGACCTTCAAGTTCCTGGGTACAACCATCTCCCAGGACCTGAAGTGGGAGACCAACATCAACGCCATCCTCAAAAAGACCCAGCAGAGGATGTACTTCCTGAGACAACTGGGGAAGTACAGTCTTCCACAGGAGCTGCTGATCCAGTTCTACACTGCGGATATTGAGTCTGTCCTGTGCTCCTCCATCACAGTCTGGTATGGAGCAGCCACTAAACAGGACAGGAGCAGACTGCAGCAGACTGTACGGGCAGCAGAAAGGATCATTGGCACCCCCCTGCCCTCCATCCAGGATCTGTACCTCTCAAGAACCAGGAAACGGGCAGGGAAAATCATCACAGACCCCTCACACCCTGCACACAGACTTTTTGATCTGCTGCCCTCTGGCAGACGGTACAGAAGCCTGCAGACCAGGACCACCCGACACAGGAACAGTTTCTTTCCCCTCGCCATCTCCCTTCTTAACAGTTGACCTGTCACACTGCTCCCACTGCCAGACTGCAGCTGCACCTTATGTACATTTTGCAGTATTCATTCCACTTCTGTATTTTATGTATATAAGTTTAGATTTGTTATTTATAGTTGGTTTACACAGCTTTGTGTATGTATGTGTAATGTGTATATATAGACACGTGTGTGTGTGTGTGTGTGTGTGTGTGTGTGTGTGTGTGTGTGTGTGTGTGTGTGTGTGTGTTCCATCTACCGGAACCAAATTCCCTGTATGTGTCTGCACATATACTTGGCCAATAAACACGATTCTGATTCTGATTCTGATATTCTACTGTTAAAAGTGGGGATTAAAATATATGCAGAGAAAGAAGGGGAAAAGACACTCTGTTTTGCCTCAATTTCATTTTCTTTAATAAGTGAAACTTAACATATAAAGTGAAAGTACTTCAACAGAGTCAGTCTGTTAGGTCTGCACTCGCTGGCCTCGGTGACTCAGAGACTTATCCCCGTGAACAAAGCAAGACACTCAGAGCTCAGTCCATTTTAACTTGCAAGAGAAGCCGGTCTGGTCAGGATCTTGGAGCTACAAACTCCCCACCTGATCTCAGCCAACTTAAAAAAATACAGTGTCCCCTCGCAGCCTTTTATTCAGAGATATCAGTTACAGAAACACCCCATTGTAAAACCCATAAGGTTTCTCCCAAGAGTTAAGGGAGACATTTCCCAAAGTGTGGGGCCCGCCCCCTAGGGGGGGGGGCAGAGCCATTGCAGGGGGGGCGCGGCATGAAAAGGGAAAAAACAAAACAACGCTTGGACACTGCTTGCATGGGGCGCCCACACAAGCAAAGCAGGAGATGAAGCATAGCTGAATATGTTTCCAAACCAACTTCATTCTAAGCCAAAGACTAGAAAATATGGTGAAGCAAATCTTCCCTTTGGCTTCACCTGCACAAGTGCCGAGGTCTCCCCTGCAGAATTGGTTTTCCCTGCGTCGAGAGCAGCGCTGGGCTCTTCAAAAAACGGACAAACAGTATCCCACATTCTTGATTTTCAGTTCACAAACACTTGTTGTAATAAATAACTACTCCTGACATTTTAGAGATGTTAGCTCTTTATACAGTAAAGTTACAGTGGGATACAAATAATATCAGGCTGATCCTGCCACGATTTGCTCCCTCGGTTCAAATCACGGACAAACAGCATCCCACAGTTGTTTATGTTTTTAAACCCATTTTGCACAGAGAGGCATTTTTTGAAAATGTATTGATAACAATGTTATTACACAGGAAAAAAAACTACATGTAAAATAATCACACCGTGACGCCTCTGCCTTTCTAAATGGAGGGACAGTAACTGCTTGTTTATATGTAAGCGTGTAAAACCTGAAGATAGAGACAAAATACTGTTAATCTGACTATCTGCCATTCTGCAATTCATCTCCTGTAAACAATAACGTGGCGCACAGCGTGACGTGGAAAAAGGCACATACCTTTAAGGTTGCGTGATGAACTCATACGTGTGGACGAAACAGCTGCGGACGTAGCGTAAAAGAGTTAGTAGTTTATTTTCTTACTACCTGCGAATTACTTGTATTTGCTAAATTGTTTACTAAATGTTTGAGGTGTGAAATAAACCGCAATGGAGCAAAATATGGGTGTGTGGTTGGAGGATGTGTTAGCGCGTGTGCGAGAGAGAGAGGGGGAGGGGCAATATTTTTCTTGTAGAACAAAGGGGGGCCCAGCAAAAAAAGTTTGGGAACCACTAAGTTAAGGCACTGTGTGTGTGACTGTATGCACGTATGAGCATGTGAGTGCATGTGTGTGTACGTGACTCATGACTTCCTGCTAGTCATATGTGGTTACAGCCGTTTAACAACATCTATAGTCATAAAAGGGTCACCTTCCCTCACCCCCCATATATCGCTTAACCCCTTTAATGGTCCACCATATACAAGCACAGGTGAGCCCATAAATGGCAGGAAGTAAACATTCCTTCTAAATAAAGAAACCAGAACCTTTACATGCAATGTGCCTGCAGTTAAACACTATAGCTATTACCATCCCCCACCATCCTAGATGTCGGGGAGGGGCAGAAAAATAGCTGAACATGCAGATTAGGACAAGGTTTACAGTTTTAAGCACAACAATGACAACTTTTGTCAAAATCACTCCATCACAGTCCTTCGTCATTATTTCTGTGATTTTAGCTAATTTTGGGTCCTAGTATCCAAGGCACTTTGTAGCTCACTTAAAAAAGGCACTAATATCAAATGAAATCATCTGACTCAAGTACTGTGATATGATGCAATATTATGCTCCAATTGACCCTTTTTAAATGAAGCCTTTTCATCTTTAGTGTTCTGAAAATATTTCTGTTTGGGAGATTTCCCAGTGCTCAGCATCTAAAAGCAGGAAAAAAACAGATAAGTGGATGGATGAGTGGGTGGCTGTCTGCACATGTGAAAGTGAAAGTTTTGCAGTGACCATGACTTTCATTTACACTGCATTTCATTCTACTGCAGCCTGAGGAAAGATATGCCAGAGATTGAAAGAAATTATCAAGCTCTTTTGTAAGTAACCTTTTACTTTCTTTTTTCACCCCATGATGCTGTGAACTACTTATTCTCTGCCATGCAATGTAATAATGCAGATTACCGATAAATTACAATCAAAGTACTTTATTGAGGAAATTATGCAGTCACAGTTGATTTAGTGTTAAATATTAAATTACATCTATATGGTTGACATTGAGGTGCTCCTGTTATCATACTGGACTTTGTTGTTTTTTCTGTGTCTGCTGTGCAGATAGTAAGGCTGTGGAACTTTTGCAGTGCGCACTTGTGCTTTAGAAGGAGGAGTTGGGTTTCCTGCATCATTCAGTGGCACATTTAGGTTTTCTCATCTTCTCACTGAACTGAACTGAATAATAATACAGATTAGTATCTCTTGGGTTTTTTTTTTCAGACATCTATACCAGTGATAGCTTTTGTAGGGCAGCTGCCACTAAAGAGAGCTTGTGATGTACATTCACCTTGTCTGTGGATAATTATGCTGAAAAATGCTCCTTTCTGTTTCTTGATCCTTCTTAGAGACATGGAACAGGAACAAGGTGAGAAAACAAGTAGATTTTTCAAGACTGTATTTGTTAAATTCATTAAACTGCATTTGGTGATTATAAAACATCATTTATTGATACTTCTACCATGATAATTATGAAGAGCTTTAATAACCAAACAAAAATCAAAATAAATAAAGAAGAAGAAGACACACCTTGTTTTAATTCACTTTCATTTTCTGTTATAACTAAACCACCTGTGGCTGGGTGTGGCCTGCGGTGCCGTGCAGGGAAGGTGGACGCAATCATGCCCCACCGACTTAAGCATAGCACTGGGTCCTGTGGTGGTGTTGTTGTTGGTTATGTTGAGCTGGCAGCGGGAGAGCTGCAGCTCTGTGTGTCAATAAAGGTAACAGAGCATGTTAATGTCACCGGGTCTGCCGTGGTCATTTACACTACCCTATTAAAATGAAAGCACTGCAGCTGAGTCACTGCTTTGTGATTACTCCAGTAGTTTCAGCACATTTGGGGAGATCCTAATCAGCACCCTTAATAGTCCATGTAAAAAGCCACTGATAGATGATATCATTTTGTTATTTCTTTCACCTTCATCTGGCTCAAGTAGTACAAAATGATGTTACAGGTGAATAATGTACTTAAATTTCTTTTTCTTTCATCTTTAGTTTTGTGGAAAAAATTCTATGTCTGGAAGGCGGGAAGAACAAATGGAGCTCATTCTCAAATTGTTCAAAAACTCAAAGACATCGGCCACACTGAGGTGGACTCTCCTGAAGATTGTGACTACCTTCTAGGTTTTTGTCCTATTGCTTCACGAGTTGGAACAGACATCACAGAGGCTCTCAACAACAAACCTCGTACGAAATGTTAAATCACACTAGTTTTCTTTTGTCATCACAAGTAAAGGGAAGTAATTTAAATCCATGAATGTTAAATTGGTATCACGAGAAATGTCATGGTAAGAAGTTGTAATTTACCTGTATGTGACCTACTTACATTAGTTGTCTTTTTCTCTTGTGTGTCAGATGGGAAGCTCCTGTGTGATATTCAGTTGAACAAGTAGATGGAAAATAATGGATGGATGAAATAATGTAAAGGGTTATGAAGAAAAGTTTTAATGTCTTACAGCCTCAGCTCAATATCTAGTAACTTAACTAACTTAAATGTTTTTTTCACTTTTCCTGACCCATCTGATCCCACTGTCTCTGTCCTTATAGCGGGTAAACCAGTGATTCTGGTGGTGATGCACCACACTCATGATACTCGTCATGTTGTAGCCAAAAGCAGCAGACAGGTCTACGACCCAGATGTCTGCCTCACTGTGGATTGTCTCTTTTATGATGGCACCCTCCTTAACTGCAGTCTCAATGACAACATGTGGGCTGAAATCAAGAATCATTTTGGAGTTCTCAGTTTGGAGACTCAGGTACTGACTAAAAAAAACTTATCTAATATTGATGTTTTGAATAAAGTAGTGGGTAGGTAGGTATGATTCAAACATTGCAGTTTGTTACAAATGCTCCAGTTAATTTGTTATTTGTATTCTAATTTTTCTTCTTCCTTTTTAGGGCTCTGACTTGCTGACCAGGATAGTCAATTGTAAGTGTGACTACAACCATGAATTTCCAATTACAGCTTTTTTTTGCCCCAGTTTTACATTCAGATTAAAATGGCAATGTATGTAGTTATCCCACCTGTGAAGTTAGCTGAAAAGTACCTCAAAAGTTACACAGAACAGATGCAAACTGAGGGTTTAGATACACAGGAGGACATTAGGGCAGAATGGAAACACGTTTGGAACACAACTGAACAGAACAGACATGACTGTGGAGACAGAAAGAGATCATAAAACATGATAGCTATTGCATTACCAAAGCACACAGATTAAACTTGATCATAACCTAGGAACATGAAGTAGAATATTAAAGAATAAAAAGAACAGAGAATACTATAGATTACCAAGGAAAATAGCAACCAGCTAAAGTTACAAAGAAGCCAGACCTAAAAACCAGAGGTTCTCAAAACACGAGGAACCGTAACCTCATAAATTCAAAACACTGGGCCAAAGACCCACATATGAACTTGATTCCCATCCCATTCTTAATCCATTAAATATGATATTGACCCAACCTTTTCAAATACAATTGCTTCATAGCTTCAATAGCTTTAACTAGACATTGTACAAGGTTTAGAAGTGTGTTTATGGGATTTTTTGACCATTAATCCAGAAGCACATTTGTGAAGTCAGACACTGATGTTGACAGCAATCTCTGACTTTACGTGGCCTTTATCTTTGCTGCTAAATTGCTGTCGTTCCCAATCACTTCCACTTTGTTAATTCATTAATAATGAGAAAATTTCACAACTGAATTTGTTGCACCAGTGGCATCCTATCATGGTACCACACTGAAATTTACTGAGCTCCTGAGAGCGACCTGGTCTTTCGGTCTTTCATAAATGTTTGTAGAAGCAGTCTGCATGGCTGGGTGCTTGACTCGATAAATCAGAGGTTAAGAACGTGATTGGAGCACCTGAGTTCAATGATTTAGATGGGCCCATGAAAATAGAAACTTTGATATTATTATTATTATTATTATTATTATTATTATTATTATTATTATTATTTTAATTGCAGTTTCTGCCATTTGCATTATGTTTTGTATTTTATATATAATATTAAAAAATACCACCTTTAATAATCTTTGTTTTTCTTCATTTTAGGGATAAAGAACCATCTACTGATTGTAGCACTCATCATTGCATTCATTTTTGTCATCATTCTAGTGACACTTACACAAGTAGACAAGGTCGAGCATGCTCATGCTGAAGGCACTAACAAGTCGTCAAGTACAAATAAAACATATGTGTGAAATAATTCTGCTGAATGTATTATCATAATTATGCTCATAAAGAATAAATACAAATCTTTCCTGTCTTGTTGCTTTTCTGTACTTTATCTTATTAACCTTTTACTTTTTACTAAAAATGTAATTTACTAATAAATAACAATAAATATGGTGATGTGAAAAAGTGATTTGCCTCATTCCTGATTTCCTATTTTTTGTCACACTGAAATGAGATCATCAATCAAGTTTAAATATTACACAAAGATAACACAAGTAAGAAAAATGTTTTAAATGTAGGTGTTTATTATTAAAGAGGGAAAAATCTAATCCTACATGGCCTTGTGCGAAAAAGGGAGCCTAAGCCTACTAACTGGCTGGGCCACCCTTAGCAGCAACAACTGCAATCAAGCATTTGAGAGTCTTTTCGAGCACCGTGGGGGAACTTTGTCCGACTCATCTTTGCAGAATTGATGTAATTCAGCCACATTGGAGGGTTTTCAAGCATGAAGCGCCTGTTTAAAGTCATACCGTAGCATCTCACTCGGATCATTGTGCTTCAGAGTACATAGTTGTGGATGCACCGCACCTTCATCACGAGGTAAACAGTAAATGACACACATAGCGTGTAAGGTGACTCAGATTTAAAATATTGATTGATTTACTAATCAGTGTTGATGTTATTAAAATATTTTAAAATGCCTGTGTGCACAAAAACATTTGTAATTTTGGAAATACATTTTATGCCACTCGTCTCTCTTCAGCATAAATGTAGTTAGTTGAGTTGTTGGGTGGGGGATACTGATATTTTCTACTTCAACTTTCAGTGTCAGGTGAAGCTTGTGCTTTGGACTGACTTCATTTTTCTACAACACTGCTTCCCAGTGGTCGTGATCAGTATTGCAGATTCTAATGAGATGAACAAACAACTGTTTTTTCTTTTTAATTTTTTATCAAGGTTCATCTTTATATTGTATCACACACATTTACAATGATTTTCAATAACTCACACCTCCTACCTTTCTTGTCTTTTCTCTCTCAAAACACATTCTCATCTCTGTTTTGTCTTTGTTTCTCAAATCAAAAGTGAAAGTGCTGCACTGAGAGGCGGTCGGGGAGGGGCTTTTAGCGTCTTCAGTGTGCCCGTGACACGAGTCACGTATCAAGCTCTTCCGTAAGTCGACTTTTAAAATGATTAACTAACCATATAAGGCTTTGAAGTGCTCCCTCATCTCTAACGTGCATGCACACACTCTTCTAAGGTGGTCTTTCTTTTTTCGTTTTTGACTTTGTCTGGATCCAGTAAAAGCTCGTGCAGAGCTTTCAGTGTTACCAACACTGACACATATTTACCTGCTGGCTGAATTGTTCAACTTTTTAAATTCCCACTAAATGCTAATTTCTTCTTCCACTTGTTTCCCAACGCAAAGAAAAGAAAGAAGAAAATGGTGAGAAAATACATTTACTTTATTACGTTTGTTAAACACTTGATGGCGCCATACAGCTGACAGTTCGTGAATGCAGCATTTTGCAGCATAATAGGGAACTGTTAAAGACATAAAGAGAAGTAAAGGAGGAGTGAATCTTTGACTTATGGCGGTGGTTTCACTAGATTTGGGGAGCACTTGATCTAGTGTCCAATCCAGTCACCTGGATTAGCTGACATGTGCATTTCCATTCATTAAGAAAAGCTCACATGGAAAAAGCTACATTCACACTGACAGTAATTCACCCACTTCCTTTAGTTTTTGCTTATTTAGATCATGATTCATATAACTGGCACACACACAACATAAACTGCATAAAAATTATAAGCATATGCCTAAAATATTCTTTTTCATCCATCTTTAGCTTCGGGGAAAAAAATTATTTATCTTTGAAGCTGGAAATACAAATGGGGCTCATCGTCACATTGTTGAAAGGTTGAAAGATGTTGGCCAAGCAGAGGTGAACGCTCTAAATGAATGCGACTATCTTCTGGTTTTCTGTCCTGCTGTTTCACGAGTTGGAACGGACATCGGAGAGGCTCTGGACAACATGCCCCGTGAGGAAAATTGAATTAGTTTTTCTATTGTCTTCACTAATATTGTGAAGGAGTTGGTGCTTCTAAGTAACCGGGGAGATTTACTGACAAATCCAGTGTCAATATTGTTTCTTAGATAAGGGCTATTCTCATATCTTTTTTGGACTAATGAAAAAATAGAAAATAAAAACAAGGATTAAGAAATCGGAGGTGAAGGATCTTGTTTACTGTAGAAGAATGTTCAGCTTATATGTCCTGCAGTATAATCTAAAGATGGAGTAATCCAAATTTTTGTTTATGTTATGGTTCTGAATCATTTCATCCTGTTGTCTCTGTGGTTACAGGTGGTAAACCAGTAATACTGGTGGTGATGCATCCCACCTTCAATCCCGATTATGTTGTAGCTGAAAGCCGGAGACAAGTGACCAACCCAAATGTCCGCCTCACTGTGGACTGTCTGTTTCATGATGGCAAGCTCCTCAAGTCTAAACGTAACAATAAGATGTGGAATGAAATAGAGATATTTTTGGAAGTTTCCACTCTCCAGGTAATGACAAAATGTATTGATCTGTTATCAGGTTTACACATAATTATTTTGGCATATACTTAAATACTTTATTTCTTTGTTTCATTTTATTATTCAGGTTTTGTGGTTTGGAACGATCAAATGTAAGTATGATTGTTCCAGTTTCATACTATAACATTAAGGAGTGTTTCCCTAAGGGACACGTTTTAAAGTAATTATCCCTCTTTGTTTTGTCTTGATAAGTCAGCATGTTAGAATAAAGCCTACTTGCTCATGGATTGAGACTAATTCTCCAAGCCATTGCTGTATACAACAAAGAGGAATATATAGTTTAAACATATTAAAGTATACTATAAATAGTCTTTTGGTGTTCAAAACTTTGAATCATAGAATTTAATATTCTAATAATGACTTTGGATTGTTTGGCCTATAAGAATGATCTGAGGTAACTCATTGCTCTTTTATTCTTCATTTTAGATTTGAAGAATCGTCGAGTACTTGGGATTGCGGCTCTAACTGCTGTAGCGATCTTTGTGTATTTCAACAGTCCTGAAATAAAAAAGAAAATAGGGCTGTGAGAGCAGTCCCTGGATAGCAAAACCAAAAGGAATCTATTTTTTAAGGTCAAGGAGTCATATGGCTAAGTTCAAGGCTAAGTTGGAAATAAGTACATAATCACATATTTTAGGTAATCGATTCAGCAACAACAACAACAACAACAATAATAACAATAATAAGGAGAAAGATTATTAGATGAGCACTAGGACATTTTTCTAGCCATGTCATTAATGCAGACAGCAAACTAGATGCACATTTCTATGAAAACAAATTGTCCTGTAAAACAACACTGTGCACTGCTGTACTGATATACAGTGTTGGTTTACTAAAATCACTTCACACATCCAGGGTATCTTGTTGGTTATATTGCAACTTGGTGAAGCTATAAATAAAAGCAAATCATCTCTATGACGTAATTCTGCTGATTTGTCCAAATAATCTTATCAAAACTAAATCATTTGTGAATAATAAATTCAAATGTTTCATATTTCTGTTGCTTGTCTACGCTTATTAATTTATCTTGGATCTAAGTGTGAGTAAACCCTTACGTAACATTACATCCTTTAACCACCAATACCTTCACTGCATTTTGCCTGTAATTTATACAGACCTGTTACATTTTGTTTATATCTTCTGCTGTTATTGAATTGTATTTTTTGTTGTATTACTTTCACATCAGTAAATAATGGCGTGCAGCTCCTACATCCTGGAAATATTTGTTTATTTACAGCTGAGTTGAATTGCACAAGCCACTGTAAATAAATGTAAATAAAACAGCAAAAGAGTTTAAATGTTTTAGCATTAACTGTCCTAAACATAAAAAATGAAATGATGGTCTGCTGAGCAGCTGAGTGGAAGCCCTTCCTTTGAGTCAAAAACAACAGTAGTGCAGGGTGTGATACGGGGCGGGACAACCAATGACAAGTTGATACCATATGAACATGCACTGTGTTGCAGTGTGGATACATGAATCTCCTTTATGTAGTATTTTTTTCTTAGGTAATGTAAATATAAACATATTTGGATCTGACATTTGTCAGATCTGGACTCAAAACGTGAATCTGATACCAGTGAAAACAAGATGATATGGCCAATCTATTCTTATTACTATCAAATTTGTTTACTAGGCCATGCAGAAGCAGCATCAGTAACCAAGAGAGCTAAGACAACACAGAGGAAAATGAAGGCTAAGTGAAATTAGCTTGGAGGCATTTCACTCTGGCTAACCAACAGTATTTACTTGCATGTTGGCAAATGTTTTTAACTTAAGAGCAGCTATGGTCAAGTGAGCTGACACTACTATTTCTCTCTCTCTCGCTCACTCTCACTGTCAGTGCATGTAGTGTAACAACAAATGCTTTTACTGCACTTAACATGTTGTCCCCAAGTCTATGAGTTTTATTAAATGTCAGCAGTTGCATGTGTTTGTGTGCATGTGTGTGATGGTTGAGCAGTAAAAGGACTCAAACTGAGAAAAGGAAAGAAGAAACTAGTGTGACTGTAAATAATAAAGCAAATAGCTTTTGTTCATTTTTAATTTAAATATTTTTGTCCTGTTGTCACTAATAAATAATTATTAGTTATTTATTTGAATTATTTACATTCAAAACATATTATTGAAGTAATATTTGTGTTGAGACTGACGTTGCCTGAAACATTAAAAAACACAAAGCTTAATTAACAGCTCAGTTAACCTCGGTACTGCATACTCGTTATCGGTAGATACCTGACACCATTATGCTGGTATGAGAACCGAGTAAAAGGAATACATTTTGACATCACTTGTCTCTTAGTTAGAATAAATGTAATAAATTAGTTTTCAGTGACACATGAAGTTGGTGTTTTGGACTTCAGTCCAATCAGAGCCACTTTCAGATTGTCTTTTTACAACACTGCCACCCAGTGGATATATTTGTCATATTTCTTGAGAAGAACAAACAGTAGAAGTTGTTGTGAAAGCTTGGGTAAATATTAATTGTGTACACCTACGCTATGTGGTGCAATTAACCCCAATTTTTGAACATGTAGTTTGAAGACCCCAACATTGTAACTGCTAGTGTC